GGAACGTGTGACTAACGTGTACATCCCGGAGGGCACCAGTTTACTGCCGCCGCCGCCGCCACCGCCGCATCGCCGACCTTCACACGACGACTTTGAACCTGTCACCTTACATCCTTTCGCCTGAATTCGGACCTGTAAGGTGTCAGATGCCATCACATTCACGTTTACCGAATTAATTCTAAAATACAATCGCAATAAATTTATTAAGTAATAAAGTATCGGGTTTCAACGTTAGTGTGATGGCACCTTAATGAAAAACGATCTCAATTACCAGGAATAGCCAGTTGTAGAAATGACACGTAGTTTGTAGAACAGGCGGTGTCTCAAATGCGATGTGTTAGAGCTCATAGAAAACGCTATACAGGCTGATGACAAAGTAAAACGCGCTGCTAAATAGCTGCCATGGACTATACAGAGAAAATCAAAATAATTGTCTCAAAAATTTGGGGCGTGTAATCAACTACCTAATTTCGTCAATTCCAAATATCAATAAAATGGACATATACGTAGATGTATACAATAAGATTATTGCTAATTATAATCTGATTGGAAAACTAAATGTAGGCTAAATTTGTAGGAATATATCTGTCCTAGCCTACTTTATATCTCGATTCAACCTCGTTGTCAGTATTGAAACTCCGTCATATAACTATATATGTAAGTGTTTATGTGATTTTAGTACATTCCTATTCCCATAGGAATATGAATATATGAATCTTATTATTGTTATTGTTTCTAGAACATGGATATCGTGTAGATTTTAGATAAGTCTAGAAGACTAAAATTATATTTTATTATTGTGTACATAAATTAAAAAAAATGAGTAAACATTTCCTGTAGTTTCTTTAGTTTGTATTTTGTTTTTTAAACAAAGTCGTGGATATCGAGATCATGTCATTTTGCGGCGTTGTTAGATTTTCTTAATGTTTATATTTTTTATATTTCTACGATACTAGAATGGGTGAAGTCCTAAATTATTTTGCTTCTATAAATTGTTCGCGATCACCCAACTTAGTATCGTAGCTCCAAAAAAATGTGAATTTTTATAGAAATAAATAAGTGTAACAGATAGAAATAAATATGTAAAATGCGTATTATTTTCGTATAAGTCCTTGTCCCTCTTTCCGTTGGCTCACGGGAAGGGATGCAAGGCGGAATTAACACTAAATATTAATAAAAAAACATATATAATATGTATTGAGGTCTGGAGTTTTTTAATTGTTAATTTCTTATTGACGAGTTATGAATGTAATCCTGGCCTCTCATCGCTGTCATTGAATGTTTGAATGTGTATTTATGTAAATGTATTAGTAAACATAATTAACATATATATGCTGTTGATTAAAGAAAGGTCTCAACGAGAATCGACACTAGATAATCCATTTATTTTCCAGTTGGTTTCTTTACAATGCTTCTAGTTTCACCACGATTTATATGGTGACAATAAAAATATCAGTGTAAATAATTAGTTTTAATTACGACGATTTTTTATCAAACATAATGGAATGTAAATAGTTTTATTTCTAAATCATGCGATACTCGGTTATATTTGTTCAATAACAAATGTTGGAATATGCACGTCTCATATCAGAGTGAATTCCTTTAGTAATTAATTAGAATTGTATCTTAAAATATGCTTTGGAGTTTCCTATTAAATATAGAAGTTTGCCTCATTACTTCTGTTATGGGATGTCATGTTAATTTCCTTGTGTTTTTATCGAGGGTTCTAATGACGCCCAAAAAGGGCGGGAAAAGTTTCACAGGGTGTTTTAATCTAAGGTAGACTTAGGACGGGTAACAACGGTTACAGATTCAAAATATATTTGCCCAGAGAAAATTATTTTTATCTGCTTCAATTCAGCCAGACTAACATTGTTATCGCCGTCAAATATTTTCCAAAATGATTATCAAAAACCTATCTATTTCTATTTTATAGATAAAAACTTTATTTTAATACATTGATGAATGTTTTGTATGTTTTTAAATTAAAATGTGTGTAAATTAGAATCAATGTTCTGATGTACTTTGAATAAACAAAAACATTTGTAAATACAACTGATAAATAACGATAGTATAGAATGACCGATTTATCTGACCCGGTGGGCATAAGTGTTAACTAGCCCTTGTCAATGTCAAAAAAGTGTCACAAGATCTTTGCAAAATTGCTATTTTTATTTTCTGAAACTAACCGCGATAGCGACTCTCAACGGGCCAGATAAGTCTGTCTATCTGTACATCAATAACATTTAATTTAATAAGAGTTTGTTGCGCCATTCATAGTTTATTCCCGATATTTTACTATAAAGAATAATTTAAACATTTGCTGTGTATAAAATACACTGTTTTGTTTAATCTCTTCAATACTCTATCCATCCCATTTATAGAATCGACTTTCAAATGTTGCATATCTTGTTTTTCATATTTGTTCAACGTAAATAGGCTTTGTTTAAAAATCGAATTGAAAATGGCCACAACTCGAATGATTTGGAATTAGTTTTAAGGAAAAAAACCTATTTCTTTGAATGCATAGCTTGTAAGGGAAGGGAATATGAGTGCTGTGATACCAGAAACTTTGGGTTTGAGTACGAGGATGGAAGATGTCGGCAATTATTAATAATTCGAATTGAATGTGTGGAGTTTTATTTTGTCGTAATTTGTAAATGACATTCGTCATTTTATGCACAAAATAATCATGCGCACAAAAGCGTTTCCAAATAATCGTTTATCAACTTTCGAAATCTCTTTCATTTATAAAATTAATAAATCAAAATTCATAAGATCATCGTGCGATTTGTGCCAAATTTGTAATTTTCGGTAATATGTTTTATTAGCGTGTAATATTATTTAATTTTTAATCAATCATTAGTGTTAATAAGATAATTATATAAACAGCTTTCACACCTTCTATACCTCCTTAAGTAAGGTGTTAAAACTGTTGTCTGATTTATTATTGTACTAAAAATTTAAGTATAGAAATTATTCAAATATTTATGCGTTATTTCTTTACAATTCCCTTCCCTTCTTTTATTTTTAACTAGCTACTAAACGACTCCGTACGCGTGGAATTAAAAAAGTAGCCTATGTGTTCTTCCAGACTATCCTCCACATCTATGCCAAATTTCTGAGATCTGTTCAGTCGTTTAAACTACAAATTCTTACAAACATCCATCCATCTATCGAAACTTTTGCAATTATGTTAGTTAGGTGTTACACATTGAAACGTAACCTTTTATCGGTGAAAGAAATTTGGAAATCACTCCAGTTATTTTTGAGTTTTTTTTTAGTAAAATATTAGTAGATTTTTGTTAATTTACTAATATTTCCTTTGACCATTCCAACTAGGCTTGTGCTAGGATATGGTTCACGACAATAGTCGAATGGCGAGGTTTCGAACCCTCGATCTCAAAATCGGTAGTCCGTACCCCAAACCATGAGGCTATTGACGCTTAAGTTATTTCACTACATACTAAAATGCAAAAATACAAATCTCTTCTTTGTAATATTAGCAGAAGTATGAATAACTACGGCCCCTTCATTAACTTGTACTTTCTCACGACACTATCCAAGGTAAAGACGATGAATTACACCCTGTCAGGACGACCACTTTTTAGGTTATATAGTAAAACAGCATGTTAAAATATACATAATTTATTTCATTCAGCATTCATTGTACACATACGTATTTTAAATGATTACACCTAGTCAACATACGTATATAACACTTAGTAGATAGCAAACATACAAAAGACCTAATGCATCTATAGGTAGACAATTAATACTTGAACATACGACGGCTCTTATGTGAATAGGTCATAACACAAACATATTATGTACTAGCCTTTGCCCGCGACCCCGTCCGCGCGGAACTTGAAAAAACAAATGCAAGTAGCCTATGTGTTCTTCCAGACTATCCTCTACATCTATGGCAAATTTTATTAAAATCTGCTCAGCAGTTTAGGCTACAAACTCTAACAAACATCCATCCATCTAAACTTTCGCATTTATAATATTATTATGAAGTTTTATATTTTTAGATGAGCCGTAAGTATACATCAATGTTACAGTAGAACCTCGATAAGTTAAAGTTTAAGGGAAACACAAAAAATTTCAAGTTATATAGGTTTTGAGTTATCAAGGGTCTATGTTATAGAGGTTTTTGGGCTCTGATGGGAAGGGAACATATTACATAATTTTGAAGTTATAGAGGTTTTTATGTTACCGAGGTTCTGTACTATGTAAGGACGATCAAAATCTTTTGAAAAGGTATTCGAATTTTTATTTTATGAATACTAAAATATTGTTTAATAATTTTGAAAAAAAAGAAATTTTGTTAAAAATTAAGTTATGACCTAATACGTAGGATCCGTCGTATAAAATTAATATCTATAAGGAAGGTAGTTCTAATTTTTACAACAATAAAAGCATATTAAAACATTAATATGGAATGATATAATTAAATAATTTCATATTTAAATAACTATAAATATCCAACATATATTGATTTTAAATTTTTGATGGAAACACTTTAGCCAACAAGAAGTTTACTAGCGAATGAAATATAAAAATACAGTCAAATCTTATTTTTTCAAATATTTAAAATCGGTTAAATACTTAACAAGAATAAAAAATAATTTTATCGAATAGATTTATACCTAAATTCGATATTACTACACTAATCATAATTTATACATGTTAAAAACATAGGCCTGAAAACATATAAAAAGTTAACAAAAGGTAATCTTGTCTTTTAAGACAATAATTATTATGACGCATTGTCAATCAATGATTTTAGTCAAGATGTATATTTTTTAGGGAATATTTATTGTCTAATTTCCTAGCCCCGTTTACCAATACGACTAAGGTGCGCTTAACAGGAACATTGATTAGAAAACAAAACAAAATGTTTGCTATCATTTGAAAGGACAAAATCGTCATCATCTTACTCCCGTAGGGTCGGCGCCTCACGTTTTTGTCCTCCACATAACTCTCTTTTGGGTATCAAAAACCTACTACCTATCGCCAACCCTACTTGGCATTATTTAAAATGTCATTGTCATATAAAATTAAAATAAAAAAGTCAATGAACTTAGAGAACTGATTCAACACATCGATACTAATTTCAAATCGTTACCTTAATGAAAACGCACCTAAAATTACAAAACTCTAATAGCCTCAAATATTTCAACGACATTTTATCAATTCTGAGACTCTAATAATTGTTAATCTCAAATGAATTACTATGGTAATAACAAATTCAATAAATACGACTAGAATTTGTAAACATCCAAAAGTAATAACTTAAGAAAATAAACAGAGTTTAAATCAGGTACTGTAAAATTGCAAAATAAACGAAGTCTTAATAAAAAATTCGCCTAAGAAGCCTTTGAATAGTTTACATTTTGAGCCCAGCCAGCTCTAACGTAAACAATGGGCCGACAACTGAAACGACATTTACATAACAGCGTCGTAAATGATTAACCACGCATAGTCCCACCATTGGCTGATATAGGCTCTAGCTAAAAAGTGACGTCAATGTCAGATAAAGGAACCATATCCGATATTTTACACGTTTGTTATTAGACAATTTACAATTTGGTGGGACAGGCCCTTAATCTTCAATTTTCTTACAAATTTTGACGTTTGCTGATTGTAATCGGTGCTTACAAAGTGTTTAAGATTGATTCCAGTATTTAGCATTTATTAGATTTTGCACCGCTTGGTTATGACACTTTAAAAATCTCAAATAGAACACAAATTGTTCTAATACCGAAGTAAAATGGTAACCAAGCGAAAGGACAGAAGCAATTGTCGTAAATATGTACAATGACATACGCTATACGTCCACGATAACATGAGAATGTGATGACGTCACACTTTAATATGATTATGTACATTGTGAAACAATCAATTTTCAAACTTGGAATGTCATTTAACTCGTTATCAGAATACTGAAACAAATCATACGCTTTGTTACCGCCGTTTACAAACTGACAGATGTCAGTTTTTATGGTTTAGCATTGGCCTTATAATTTAAGATGCTTTTACAATTGGGAATTTAATTTCTTACAAAAATATCGTTGTGGCATGAATATCTAACTCTCATGTTATCGTGAACGTGTTGTAACTTATTTAAATTGGCACAATCAAAGCTAAAAAAATAAATTCATTTATCATCTAAATATAAATTGAGATCAAAACATTTTATTCGCGATAGTAACGCCATTTATGTATCGATTCGCGCATTAAAACTAACATTTTAATTATTTATAAGATATATTTAATCGATCTGAACATCAAAATATAGTTGTTTGATATGCTATTTTAATTTGTGAATATTTTTAGTGTAAGACAGCTCCGAAAATAATATTGAACATATCCAGCCTTACAAATAAACGCAGTATAAAGTTAAATTTAGGAATAAACTGAGTATAAGCAGAATTCTTACTAATATTTACTTATATTCAGTCCTAAGTTTAACTTTATACCGCATTTATTTGTAAGGATGATCATGTTTTGGAATGTAGAATAAATGCCTAACCATAAACATAAAACCTTGTCATAGAGGCGCCTCAATTCTTTAAAATCCAGCACTATTTGTATTTCAATATATTAGTTACACATTTTTACGCAATATAACAAGGATTTTTATATTCTTAGTATGGCATACTAGAAAATAAACGTACGCAAACCTTTGACTTCTGTTAAAAATAAAAAATATAAACTATTTATTTAGAATATATTAAATTGTCAAAAAATGTCATATAATCTTTGGAATACGTCCCTGTAAGAATACAAGGGTATACAAATGTCATAGAAGAATCACTATCGCAATAGTGTATTATTTTATTTAAAGCCAAATAACATAAAATCAGATCATTATAGTCTTTAAAAACATTATTTACTATAGTTATTTAGTAAACGTTTGGTCATGTTTTTGCAAGCAGCAACATAAAGTACCTATCAGAGATTAAGAAATGTATAGAGGAGGCATGGAGGACTCTGCAATTGATTTTTTTTACATAACCATAACACTATCTTTTTGTAGATCCTAAAACCATGTCATAATTAAATCCCAATAGGTGTCATTAAATAACATTCAAATATTTTTTTAAAATTGTTTTGTAAAATACAAGAAAAAGAGATGGTACTAAATTTACAACTGACCTTTCAGAGAAATTACCAGTGAACAACTTCTTCACTATGCCTCGTCTATATATTTTTAAATGTCTGTGGTACTATCTTAGGTTTAAAAGTTAGCACATTAGATACCCTAACATATATTTGTGCTATATTTACTGATAACGTTTGAGCTCTGGAAACACTTCGAGGAGGACCACTTCGAATAGTTCCTGGAAGTAATACAAAAATTATACCACGAGTCTCAAAATTCCATAAAATTATTTTGTCGACGTTCTTCCAATGAGAATAAAAGAGACGATGACAACATATTTTTTGTACTTTGGAACTTGTAGAAACTTAGATTACAATAATAAGTATTAAGAAAAGAAACCGATCGAACGTGAAATTGTACGATTCTTTATTTTTTTCTAATTTAATCTTTTACTTTTTTTAGACTTATATGCTACCTTTTAATTTTAATACACCTTATTTTAAGAGTACCTAATTTCCGTAAATATATTGTGCAAAAGAGCTTCTTACTACGTTACAAATGGAAAATCCCCTTTTAATCTTTTTACTAAGACATACAATATATGTACATTTCTATATAATAAACTATATATCACCTGTCACTTTGATCAATTACCGTTACGAACGTTTTCATACCGTGGAAACGATTTCAGCAAACCGTCAACAATTTACAGATAATTTTAGATCAGAGATCGCGTGCGCGTGATATTTATATTATAAACGCTGAAAGCTTGCGGAAGAATGTCTCCCTCTGTTCGTAACTACACGTGAAATAATACTTTTTTTAATATTTAAGTAAAAAAAATAGTGTAGTGTTAAAAAAATAACTGTTTTTCTTTTTGAAAATGTCGATTTTATTCAGTGTTATAGCAAATAATAAAAATATTATCAATGCGTATGCTTCTTGTGATGGTAATTTTTTGGACATTGTTAGTGAAGTGTTACTAAAGCGACCGAGTAAACCTGACAAAATGACTTATTTACATGGAAAGTATCTGATAAATTACATCGTTGATAATGATCATGTTTATTTGTGTGTTACTGATAAAGTAAGTATTTTTTAACTTAATCTTTAATATTAGAAATATAAGTAAAGTGGAGGTAAAAAACATTTTATTTGATAATTTTATATTCAAATTCAGTAACAACTAAGCAGATTTTACGCTAAAATTCTTGGCACATTTTTATGAGAAACTTGCTCATTGTTTACTAGGATAGGAGAGTGGACTTTTTATTAATAAAAATATTTAAAACTTTCAAATAATTTTGATTTTAAGGCATGTCAACGCTCAAGAGCATTCCTATTCCTGAACGAGATAAAAAGAGGCTTTAAGATGAAAAACAAAGATTACACGAATATATTAGCAGCAGAGATGTTACGATATAGCCAGGATTATAATAATATAGTGATACAAGATGGAGCATTAGACGAAATAAATAGGATTGAAGTGGAATGTAGCGGTGAGTGGAAAAATTAATTTGTGGCTGAAGTACGCCCTGGGCGAGATTTTTACAACACCCTGTTTTTTAACAATATCAATGCTGAGTTGCTATAGTTTAGATTTATTTTACCACTAGCTGTTCCCATGCGACTTCATCCACTGAAATTATGAAAATTTTATTTTATTGTTTACATTTGTCAAATTATTAATTACAAATGTCAAAATGACGACATAATGACAACCTTGCTTCCTTGATGTTGTCAGCAACTTATGGTCTCTTTCCCACATTAGGGTTTTTATCCAAAATATTTACTCCCTAAGTTTAATGGCGTTAAAATATATAGCCTAAAGCGTGACGCAAGTGTAGGGCTTTTGGTTAAAAAAAGAATTATTCAAAAATATTTTGTAATTGCTGACATCTTAGGCAACAAAATAGTGTGTTTACACTTTATTATAATAGTATAGAAGTATAGATAAGTATAGATTACCTAGTACCAAGACTAATTAGTGTTAGGTTAAGCCAAACTTCAAAGGAGTAAAACTCAAGTTACGTAGTTCGGAAACACATGAAGTTATCGATCCAAAAACACTAAATAATAGTTAAAAGTAGCTGGGAAACCGGCCATAGGAGGGTTTGTGGTTTAACATCTTAACTGGAATTACATGTACTTTATATTTTACAGTAATAATAGTGTTGTTTAATAAACAATTTATTTTTTCAGAAACTATACTCGGCGAAAAAATATTAATGGTTCAACACGAAGACAATTTGGAATTCAGTGTAAGTGTGCTGTCAGTAAATATTATTATGTTTATTAATAACTAGCTGTTTTTCGCGACTTAGACCGTATAAAATTAAATTAATATAGTCTATGTTATGTTATTAAATGCGTAGCTTTGTAATGGAAAAAAATTGAAATAAATCCAGTAATTTTTGAGTTGTTTCAATACTTACAAAATACAAATCTATCCTTTTTATAATATTAGTATGGATTAATTATTAATAATGTAAAATTTTTATGTGATCTTTATTTCAGACAATGTCGTACGTGGGCAGGTCGCCGGAGAAAATTATCGTGTCAGTGGAGAGTACAAATTCTCGTATAATTTTAGGAATGGCCTTAATCCTGACCGTGGTTATAATGTGTATTTTCGGACCTGCCACATTCGTTGCTGTTATAGGTATATTTTTTTATTTAGCGAAACGAAAAACCTAACATATAAGTTCATATGTAAGTGAAATAAATATCAATTCGATGCAATTTATTTACTCTTTTTTAGCGTTTGATCCATTTAAGAAAAATTGCCTTTTATATTACAACGAGATAAACTCCGCATCTTCTTACAAAGAACAAATTAGATAGCTTTAAATTTCGCAAACGAAGATACATTATAAATAAATAAGCCGTGTATCGAATCGACTTTTCGTATACACATTTAAAAGCTATATTGTATTGGTTCCACGGCGTTTTAAGTCAAATCCACTCTTTTCTTCCTATCCTTTACTCTCAAGGGAAAAGGACTAGACTTAAGCCTTCGGGCACACTCATCAAATTGTACGCGGAAATGCTTCCACTTGACGCCTGTCTTGTGT